GTTGAAATCCCGCCTCCGAGACAAGTGCATTGGTCTTTTGCGGCAACAAATCACGCGCTCGAAGACAATGAAGACACAGTTCAAAGTCCAGGCCCCATCGCGAGCAACAGTGGTCTCGTGGATTATGTCTGTTTGGACTGATCTACCTGAATCTACAATTATTAATGGCTTCAGGGCGTGCGATTTCATTGGTGGTCAAACAATTGAAACCATTGATGACGGTGGGTATGTCGATGACGAAGTATTAGCGGATTTGATGGAAAATTTAGCTGTCGAAGCTGTGATCAACCCAACTAGTGACATAGATATTTGTGATGAGATCAATGAATCTGAACTGCTCTAATTGGTTATCAGTAGTGAGCAAGGTATTTTATACCCTGTATGAGTTTATGCTCTTGTACAAACTATATTTGCTTTGTAAAATGGTGTCTTGCACGTATATGTAGTATTGTATGTCTAACTCGAAAAACAAAGTCCCATCCATCCATCATGTATCCGTATTCGGATATCGACACATCACTGTCTAACTCGTATTACGGAATACGGGTATTCAAATAGCAGTACTCACATGATTGTGTGTTTACCAGTCGTTTCACCATTCGTATTTATGGGATTTTTCGTATTTATATTACAGTTTATATCGGTCGTGTATCATCCCCATTGTCCCCTACAATACCGGTAGTACTGTAAGAGCTTCTCCATCGGTAAATTTTAACCTACAGTAACTAATTATTGCTACTAGTATAGCATACCAGTAGGTTAAAGTCAAACTTCGTTTTTACGGTTGCAATTTTGGCACTATCCGGACTATTTTTGAATTACGTGCCGCAGAATTTCTATTTTCGTGTGAAATAGCAACGAACCCTCCGGATAGTGCAAGCAGCAAAATGACAAACATAGCTAAGGTGTAGTTGCAGATCTGCTTCCAACTTACCTTGAAATCCACATACATACAGTGCCATAATTTACAACGACATCCACGATACCTCGCAGCAGCAAGAACTTCCCCCACTTGCCAAATCCTTCATCGATGGTCCCTTCCCTAAGTATGGTGTAAATGTAGAATGCAACAATCTCAATGAACTACCGGTACAGTAGTAGCTACACGGCATGTTGTGAAGCAGTACTTTGTACTAAACTGCCTCCTAAAAGGATATCGAATCTTCGTGATGTAGCTAAAGCTCGTAGGTACTACCGGTACTTCGAAGTGCGTCGTATGTGAATTAGATTAATGAAGTATTATTAATACTACGTATTATTAATAATAGTACCACTAGTACTACGTAGTACGTAGTACGAAGTACTACTAGTACTAGTATTAATATGAATAGTACAATCGTGTACTTACCGGTACTGTTAACCGAACGGATAAATGTCTCATTTATACTTACCCAACGGATTAACACGTGCAATCCTGGCCACCAAATGACCAATCACAATCACCCAATTAAAATGATTGGACAAAATTACGAACTCTTGTTTCAACTTGTAACATTGAACTTATCGAGCGTTATCCAATAGAATAAGCCTTTCATCCACATGTCATCCACACGTCATCAACATATTGTCTATTTAACCTTACCGGTACTCAAAATTTGGAGTGATAGTGGTAACAGTGCTGTGAATCGCCCATCCATCGATCGATTCATTGTACAGTGTACTGAAGTTAGTTACTACGTACTAGTACTCCGGAGTAGTATTTTACACCTCTGAACTACAGTGTAGGTACAAACATTCACAAATCAACACCATTCATTGGCGACAAGCATCATGAAGTCTTGCTAAGGGTTAGCTATCGCTAACCACTGGCGATTTATCTTGAACTCTGGGAATAGGCTTACCGGTAATTGTAGCCATTTGAGATAGGGACGGGGTGGCGGGATTTTATGGTTACATTATGGGTTAAAAAGTGTGATTTTGCATTAACGTTAATTAGACTAAAAGTAGTACTACCGTAGTACTCCCGCCATCGTTCTCCGTGTCATGGTTGGACAAGGACGAAACGAATTTCAACGCAGAGCCCTTCGTGATCAATCCCACGGAACTGACACCACACAACAGGGAGTACAAATTATATGAATGTTTGTACCTGCACTGTAGTTCAGAGGTGTAAGGGCATCCCCAATGATGCGACGGTACTCCAGGGTATAATCAGACTGTATTTTGACGTTTACCGTCGGAATGAGAAGGGCCCAGGGGCTGCAGACTGTGTTGTGATCGAATAAAGTCGGACATCATCTCATCCGACTCAATTCTCATTGGCTTAAATTCGACCTAATTATCTTGCCTTTACTTTTTGCTGCATCATTTGGGGTCACAGTCTGTCAATTCCGACTTCATTGTGCTCCTACATCCACAACTTTGAGAAATACTGTAAGGGGAGATTATATATATACGGGTCCCGTGCATTCCATTAAGTAGGGTGTATATGCGGGAATGCCATAAAAACCCGGATTACAGCAACTTATGTCTCCCGTCTACGTTTTCTAGCTATGCGTGCAAATGTGACCATCTTCATTTGGGAAATACGATGCTGACGTCCAAGTTCAGTGAAACCCCTCGATGATGGCAAATTGGTCATTATAGTGTCACATGCAATGCATCTATAGCCGTGGCCGAGGTGTAGGGACGACCCAAACCAGTGCTAGTCGTGCTGTTATAAACGTTTTGGAGCTCCTGCACCGCGAACTTCCACTCACACAAGATATTGCCTTGATTCTTGGTCAAGTCCCGCGACTTGATCTTGTACAGCCAGCTAGCAACGACAGTACAGCATAGTACCTTCGAGCCTGGTACTACTGGTGGTGTACTAACCAACCACTACTACCAAAGCCACACCCACCACCATAGCAATCACTACTGCTCATCCTACGACCACCACAGCCAGACCTACCACTACCACAGCCAGGTGGTGTGGACCAGGCTCTAAGGAACTGTACTGTCGTTGCTAGCTGGCGGGTTGCAGGCAAAACTTCATTATGTTGTTCATCTGCCGTGGTCAAAGCACTTATAAGCAATCAATGGATACAGGACATTCGGTCCGACTTTCTTCTGTCAATTTCTCAGGTCTGGATTTGACTTCGCTTTTGTATATAATAAATATTACAACGAACAAGAAAGTCGGACAAACCGTCCGACGATCACTTGGTTCCTGTATGTCCTGTTCGACGTTTTACCACTTATGGAGATACGAAACACGAAATTTCGTAAACCCAGATATTGGACATAATTTGATTTGACATTTGTATGCCAAAATTATATCCAGAGATATAATGAAATGGGTTTCACGAAATAGAATGAAATTTTGTTATCGAGACAGTTTCAGAGTCATTTTGCAATGCAAGCACCCGAGCGGACGGCCTCTGTGGCGCCGCACGCCGACCACATAAGTCCAGGTGATTCAACAACAGGGGACCAGGTGATATTGCTTAGGTATGGTAGCAAGACACGCTATCAGTACGAGAGGACGCTCATGCGCCTTAAAGCATGGCTGCTGTGCGAGCATCCTGGTTGTATGACCAATGGTGAGGTTGATCTTCCCCCCGCCTAACTCAAACTCTCGTGGTTCATTCATCAACGCTTCGGCATGTATACAATGGTCGATTTGGTCCAGAGAGTGAGACGACACGCGCGCGCGTTTGGCCTCACATCAACCGTAAGGATCGAATCTACGAGGGATGGTTTGTTGTGTTTATATTTTTATACAATTGTGTTTTTATCACTCCTTCGAAACAAGATAATAAATAGATTCGATATATATTGACTGTGAAGTCAGTTCCCGACAATTCATGCCGCGGATCAAGCTGTGAAGTCATGGTCAAGGCGTGCTTCATTGGAGCACACGAATGCTAGTGGGCATCCATTATTAGCCAGTCATTGGCGAAATAGCTGAGGTGCCCAAAATGGGATGAAATGGGGTCATGTACCCCATTTTGAAAAATGGATTTTGTAATGAGTTGGGGAGCGTTTTGATTGGATAATGCCCATTTTGAAAAGTACTTGGAACAGGCTCTAAGGCCACTTCCAAGTAACTTTTCAAAACGAACGGAGCAATCAGAATCATTTCCGTCGTACTTCGAAATCATAGCACGACAAGGAGTCATGCTTTGGTCGTGATTGGGGTATTTGTGCATTCCAAGTACAGTAACGTTAAATTGATTGACTACTGTTTTACTTGATTTCAGTATTGGATGACTTTCCGCACCATGGAGCCTTGAGGTCCACGCCGATCAAGGCCGAAGCCAACTTTGAGGGAAATGCTATCGTCAATGGCAGCACAAGTGACCCATACATCATAGATTCTTCCTAGCAATACGTTTTGAATAAAGTTACTGCGCCGTGGCGCACCTTTTACCTCGATACCTCCATGGCGACCTCCATATTGTCATCGTGCCGTGCCATGTCGTGGTCCGGTATGACACAGCTCGATCCTGTGAGCTTGGTGCAGGACAGCTCGACGGGGATGTAAATTTAGTATATATAGCTAGACGCTATATTGTGGCACTATCCGATCTACATGTTCCTATAGCTCGTATACCTCTGGGCTTGCGCTTGGACCTGGGTGTGCGGCGGCCACATCTTGCGGCCCATTTCGATGGCACCCAAGCGCTGATGTCAAAGTGAGCAACCAAATTGCGACCAGAATGGGGGTGTTCGTGCAGGTTGTATGTACTTGCTTGTCTCTGGAGACCAGTCCTTCCTCCAGCCATCATGCATATAGCCTAGAAAATCCATGTGCGGGGCGATGTGGGATCACGGATTATGGGGCGACGGTGTCTGTGGCAGCAGCGCTGCACTACATTGTGCACTCGTTATCCACGGGTCGAACGTTAGTGTGCGCGGTGTGTGTCCTCCTATACACTTCATGTAATCTAATTCAGCCCACACATCCTCCTTGCCACTCTACACGACATGCCATTGGCACCATCTTGATGTTTCCTGACGTCATTTCTCCGTCGTCCCAACGGGTTTTTACACACATCTTCATTCCTGAATTCGCTATGAGCAACACTTCACACGATGACAACCCTCCTCAAAGCATCGTACCGCCAGATGATCAACTCATTACGACCTTGCTTGGGACTTACGATGCAACGTTCGACCGCAACATGCGATGGGTAGCGCAGGGATGGGGCGACCCCGCAGTTGGACTCAACTACGTTTCTGGGGAAGTTGTGATGCCCGAAACGGGCAACTACGTGATGGTCATTACGTCCGGCAACCCCGCCCTCCTCCTTTGCGCGACTTTCCTCAAGAATGACCGTCAGAACCAAGAAGAAAAATTCACCATGGACGTGACGCTGGGCAAGCCAATATGCATGACACTGGAGAAGGGAACTCGATTGCGATTGACCAAGACCAAAGAGAACACTGCCAAGGGGGCTAGTTGCACCACCAAGCTTGTGTTGTACCGGCACGGCTCGAACGCTGCTTCGGCGTAACTTTATTCAACGTGCCACTGGTTGGCTTGTTGGGAAGAGTCCGTCCAGTCACACTCACAGGCCAAGGGTTTGCAAAGTTCACCTCCTCCTTAAGTCAAAAGATACAGCATTATGTCGAACCCGACATGCATCTTCAACATACGACTTCGTCTGTTTGGCTCTGGAGCTCATGGCTTTGTCGATTGAACACTAGCTCCAGTGCGAAATAGTCAACGCCAGCCGTTAAGCGGCAATGAGTTCAAGATCACTCGAGCGTTCATGATGATCGAGTGATCTTGAATGTATTGCCGCTTCTCCTGCGTTCAACATGACTGTGGTCGGTGTGTTTCATCGGCCTTTCAGAGCCAACAGAAGTAAAGCAATGGGCATTGCTGATAGAAGCCCAGCCATCATCCGGCGAGGTTGCTGTGGGCCAGGTTCCGAACAATGACAGGTTCATGTCCATCGTTCTGAGCCAGCGCACAGCAAGTTCGCTGAACGATAGCCCGACGCCTGCAATTTCGACGTTGATTTTACAAACGGTGATGTAACCTTTTAGTGGGTCTGCGGAACGCATTACTGGAATAACGACATGCGTCCTTTTGTCATTGCCGACGCCAACTACGTCACGCATTGGACCACTTTACTGCGTAACGTAACGGCGTAACTCCTATGATTGCACGGTATTGCCAAAATATGGTCGTCGGAAATTATCTACTTGGCTTTTGTATTGAATTTTGACATGACCATTTCGGCGAAGTTAATTCACCGGCTAATTCGACGAGAATGCTTAGATTATGCTCTTTCACGTTCACTAATTTACAGGCCAATCGGAGCTGAGGAAGTTCTGTTTTTCATATCAGTCGTACAGTAGTACGTCAAATAATTCATGATCCAAATATGGAACTAAAAATCAAAATAAAATGATTAAAACGGGCCACTCTGGCTGCCACAAAAACATGCCAGAAAACCCCTCTTTGGCCGCTTTTCCGAAATATTATGACAATTTTTCAAATGACAGCTTTTGTTTGTGTGTTTGGCTATCAAATCTGACATATGTAAAGTGACATAATACGTCGATTTTTTCCGTTTTCTGACAGAAATAGTTTCAACTGCAACAGTCTAATTTTTACCTACATGTTGTTCCAGCAATAATAGTTCCAATATATTTCGCTAATATTTCTCACCTCCTATTTGTCAGAATATTATTTGACATAAAATTTTCTATGGCATCCACACTCGGCCTAAAAATATTTTAATTAACTTTTTTAGAGATATCTATAAAGGACGTAAAAACGCATATTGGTACTGATCCATGAGAGGTCACGTTAAGGCGGCGGCATATCGTTGGACCATCAAATAATGGGCGGTTTGTACTATTCACATTTTGTGTCGCCGGTATTAGGTTTTGGCCAACGTTTACACGTAAAGAACTCTAACCCGAAGCCTGTTACTACGTACTGTAAGTAGTAGTAAATCCTATTATTGTGCTTTCGAGTGAAATTTCATTGTGTTGTGGCGTGGCTTCTCGTAGGAATCTAAATCGATTTGATTGGCTACTTCAGATGAGCTCAAAATTAATAGCCAATCAAAACCCTATCAATGAAATTCAACCAATCAGATCGATTGTGGATCGGTTTGGTCGGCGCGATTCGATTGCACCCCCTCCCCAAATTTGTATCAAATCGACAATATTCATACTTGAAATACGAATGAACCTGGATGTACGCGTTAGACGACGGTCGCGCACTCGTTTTGCTCAACATGGTCAAACAATCTGTGGGTCATTTCGACGCCTAAAAACAAGCATCCATTCGCTGGAAACGACCGGAGCACGGCGGCACTCCATCCGCGGTAGAAGCCCCGCAGGCCTTGGGTCCGCCACACCGTCTCGAACGCCCGGCGGAATGTGACACCGTTTCCCACCTGCATGTACGACTTGACCACATCGGCGGGAAAGATCACGCTCCATCCCGTAGCCCCGGCCACCCCGCCGCAGGTCAATACTGCCACCGGATGCAAATCTCGCCTCGACATGGGTTGAGATGTGTGGTCGCTCCATAGGCGAACCAAGGTCGACGTGTACAGTTCATATGCCCCAAAAAAGATAAAGTTGAACGGGACGTCGCGGAGCAGCACGGCGGGCAGTCCCGCGACGAGTCCCTTGACGCCATTCTGAGCAATCACTTCGCGGATACACGCAAACACCCCCAAGGATGAAGCATGGGACGTCTGGAGGCGGCACTTGATTACTTCTGCCGGCGTGATCGCGGTCGCGGAAAACACCGCGGCGGCACTACCGAGTAGCGCTTCGTCCAGCAAGGTAGTAGTATGCGAGTTGCCAAAGTATAGTCGACGGAGGACGCCGTGTGCGGTGAATAGCACCGAGTTTTCGATGATCGCACTTGACAGCGCCGGCGTGGCGCCTTTCCACAGCGACCGCAAGCCTTCGTTTTGTACAGTGCGGACTAGGCAGTGCACGAGGCCGCGGTACTCGCTGGTAGTCTGAAGGCGCACCTTGGCCACGTCGAAAGGCAGGCCCGAATACACGTTGCAGATAGCGCCGACCACGCCGCTCGATGTTTCCTTGAGGTCGAGCATCGCTGGGTGAAGGTGGCTAAAGTTATGGGTCCGTTGGACGGAGTTGAAGAACCACCTGGAGCTATAAATGCGCCAATGAAATCGTAGTATTTCAGAATGGTCGAAATGGATTGGTCAACGCATTTCTTTATTGGACACCATTTGAAAGCTGCCACAAATGTATGTACTACACTCCGAGTATAAGTATTACTAATTTCTTCGGGAAGGTTTACTTGAATTCATACTATTAATAGAGTATAAATAATTCGAAGTAGTACAGGTAACGACTGTACAACTAACTGTACCGAAATCTTCACGAAGTGGTACTCAACTACCAGTATATTTTGAGAATAAAATATTGTGTCTTACAGTTAGTACTAATAAGTAACCCAAAAGTCAACTTCGAAATTTTTATCCAGCGAAAGAAAACTTGATTTACAGTTAAAAGACCTGTAGTAGTATGAAAGAGAACGGTACTAACTTTGTACTGACGTAAGACCACAGGGGCAAGTCGGTGGTGTTCACACCATGCATGCATACTGTATGACGACCCAATACCGTATATAGAATGTACTACTGTAGTACCCCACTTACCAGATGCGACAATAAAAAATTGAAGTGACACCAATAATTGCTCATATTAACCAGGTTACCATTTGAGAGTGCAAAAATATCATGATTGGCTAAAACAATTCTATGAAATGCAGTGTGATTGGTTATCCAAAGTCCAACCAATCGTCGATATTGCAACATGGCGCACGGTCGCGTGTACGGAGCGCTTCAGCGGTACATGTCCATGATACGTATGCAAGCATCGAGCTAACTCATGAAGGTAGACTGCCGTATGTGAAGACTGCTCCCGAGATCCTTGAGATGCGCTTCTGGCGGCATACAGTGAAGGAGAAAGTGATGGTCGACCCCATTCGAAGGGCAAAGAATCAAACCGACCGTTTGATCAATTACCAATTGGCCAAGCTGGCGTCGATCACGTCACATGTAGCGAACGAGTTTCCAGCTCTTCGTAGCTTGCATCCTTTTGAGCATGTACGCATGCATGATACCCGTCCATCCGTGTGACCGTCGTGCGTTGCATTCGTGACTTCCTTGTCGGGTATATAGGAGGTGGTCGTGCTGACACTCGGTCAAGGCGCGTATGAATCGCAGCTCAAGCACCTTCGCAGAGTGTATTCGGCTTTGCACCAGTGTGGCAAATCCTTTGAAATCGAGAACAAGCAAGTGCGCACTCAAATCGAATCAGCCGACGTCATGGCGCGATGCCTTGATGTAAGTACGACATACCCGACGTGGATGTACCCACTTGAACATTGACATATGGCGTGCGGGGTGTGTAGGCCCTGAAAGAAGTCGTTCATGGCCAAGCGCCAGTCCTCCACGACACGGCCGAAATGGCCAAGGTACCTAATTGTGCCTGTGACATACAAAAGTACTACTCATATGGTACCTAACGACGATGATGGTACCGAATGATATCATGGTGCGTAGACTTTGCGAAAGTTGCCTGAAATCGACTTGAACAAACCATTGTTTGCACTCGTGGGAAGCCCCAACGTCGGTACGTACGACCTGTGTTTACTGAATCGAATGTCATGATCGTTCTACAAATATTTTGATATATATATTGTCGATTTGTTACAAATTTGGGGAGGGGTGCATTCGAGTCGCGCCGACCAAACCGACCCACAATCGATCTGATTGGTTGAATTTAATTGAGAAATGGGGTTTGATTGGCTAATAATTTTGAGCTCATCTGAGGTAGCCAATCAAATCGATTTAAATTCCTACGAGAAACCACGCCACCACACGAAGTTTCACTCGAAAGCACAATATATATATATTTACTAGTACCTGTTAGGCAAATCGTCGTTGGTCAAGGCGTTGACGACGGCAAATCCCGAAGTAGGTGGTGCCTCTAGTTGTACAAAAATCTACTACTACTACTACTAGTAGTAGTAGTAGTAGTAGTAGTCCCCGACACCACAAATTATATCTTGTCGTCAAACATATCGTTATTAGATTGCAAATTACCCGTTTACGACGCGAGGGGTCACCATCGGGCACATTTTCATTCACGGCATTTCATATCAAGTCTGTATGTCCTAGTCTCCGCCTGTACTTACCATATGAACCAGGTAGCCGACACGCCGGGGCTGCTGCTTCGTCCCGACGACCAGCGCAACGCCATTGAAAAACTGGCGCTCGCCATCTTGACCAAAACCAAAGCCGTACGTACAAACATCTCGAATTTGTCGATATTTTGATTACGAATCGCGCCGATTTTAATTACGAATCATGTGTTGACTAAACACATTTTGTTGGACATTAGACGGTCGGGTTTGTGGTCGACCCTACAGGCAGCTCGGGAACGTCCGTGGCCGTCCAATTGGCCTTGCGCGACGAACTCCGAGCGAAGTTGCCTGAGAAGGCGGCGACTTCCTGGATCGACCTCGTCTCCAAGATAGATGTGCCGTATGATCGTTCTACGATTTCTCCTTCGTACGGATATATATTATATATATATATATATGGCTAAACTGCACATGTGGGTGGTACACAGGGACCGAGCGCTGCTAGCGACGATGCTTCCCGTGTCCACGGCAACCAACGAAGGCTTGGCCAAGGTCGACGCGAGTGTGCGTGCGATGCTGCAGTCGGTGGCGCTTGGCCAGAACGACCAATAAGCTATCGAAACAAGAACGTTGTCACACATGGAATACGTGTTCTTGCAAACACCATATCTCCCTGCTAGACGTTAAACATCACTATTCAACGCCAACACATGCGATACAGTATAGTGCTCGGCGAATACAGCCCAAATGCCGTTGGACTTATATGTTATCTTGCGATACAGTGCACGACGGTGGTGAATGGTCCAACTGACGTGGGACTTTGTTACTGTCTTGGATAAAAAGAAACGCACACCGAGGCGGCGGCGGTAGTGGCGGAAACACAAATTGGCTTGGAAGTGGCCATGAACGATACGCTGGGGACGTTGTCGTCGACGACGAGCGAGTACTTGACTTTGGCGACCGCGGCCGCTTCCTGGGCGTAGATGCAGAACCCCCGCCCACTGCCGCGACACCACACGACAAACGGATGGTTGGCAAACGTGTCGTGGGTGGACGAGTGATCCAAGACGCTGAGGGGGGCCAGCCGGCCACGGGGGTCCACCGCAAACAGTTCGTACGTGTCAAATCGCGAGTGGTGGACGGAGAACGTCATGACCAGCGCCGACGTCGGGCGCGACGTTGCCGGTACCGGAAATGCAAAGGACGGCGATAGCATCGTGGCCGCATGGAAGGGAAAGCTCACGAAGTGGACGCCACTAGACGACGACCAAGATGGAGCTGACCCACATACGTGCTTGGGTGATTCGTTGCCAGGACGGACGAGGAAGTCGACGATCTTGCGCCCCCCGAGTTTGGTGTAGAACACGTGCAAATCATCGCTGGCCAACTGGTTGTGGAATACCACTTGGATTGGTGGAGATGGCGCGGCTTCGACGGAGGCCTTGGACTCGGCCCCGTGTGGGAACCGCCACGACGACGAGGCTGACATCCGCCGACTTGGTCTCTTGGACGCGACGACAGCAGCAGCAGCAGTGTGTGATGAACTCTACCATCACAACATGAACATGTTTGAAACGTGAGCGAAAGATGCGGTGAGGACAGTGTACTGTGGTTCTAGATAAGGACAGAGGCGACGGGTTGGTGTGTTTGCTGTACAGTGCGACTGGTTTCACTTGGCGAGATGGATGGTTGGGGGATTTGGATCGATGTATCATGATGGGTTTCTCTGGTTTCAATGAGCTGTGGACCTGCCTGGGGCGGTAGTCTTCACTGCGCTCGTCGTCGGAATCGGCACAAGGAATCGACCGAGATGGAGTCCAGTTCAACGTGTCGAGCACCTTTGGCTTGAACTGGAACTCGGGGAAGCTGTTGCCCATCACCAGGGCATACCGCTCGTCGTTTGTCGGCATAAGTCGCGGCGCCGATACTGTACAATCTGTCAAATCTAAACTTAGCTCACCTCCCACAATTGATATAGTTTAGTCATACAGTAGTTCTGGATTTTGAATAACAGTTCCCGTGACCATAATAACAGCAAAATATTTGTCAGATTTAAAATACCGCCAACGGTGGTCGATTTCGGTGTGTGACAATCTTGAATTCAAATAAAAAGGTTTATCCGGCCGAAGAGGTTTATCCGGCCGAAGTTCACCAAACAAACACGGGAGCCCAATTCCAATCATGTTGGGGCGCACCATCATCCTTCGACGCAGGAGCGTACGACTGGCGCAAGCCGCCGCAGGATGGAGTAGTGCTCGGCTGTCTACCAGCACACTGCACCGGGTGACTATCGCTCGCCCGGCATCGTTAAAGGAGTTCCAGCTCAAAGGAACGCGACCGGTGGACCTCCATGTCCGTGCGTCGCTGACTGCCGACATTGAGCTTGCGTCGGACGAAGCGAATGCGTTCCAAATTGTCACGCATCCCAACGGCAGCGCCATTCGCGCCTTGGACAGCGTCGGTAACGCGTCCACTCCGCTGCATGTGGAGCTGCACTTGCCATCCCAAACCGACCTGAACGTGTCACTGGTGCACGGGAACGCCACTTTGCACGACAAAGTCGAAGGCAACGTCACGATTGCGTTGAACCGCGGCAACATTTCCGCCGACAAGCTCCGCGGGACGAATGTACGCCTTGTGTCCAACGACGGAACCATCGCGATCCATACGCTCGTCGAAGGAGAGTCTGTGACGCTGTCCGCCAAGCATATTGACTGCAAAAAGGTCATGGCCAAGCGAGCCGAGATCACATTGTCCAAGAGCGTTGCAGAGCCACTCAACTCATCGTTTGGGGCGTTGTACACGAACTTGGCCACGATTCAGAGTGCCGCCACGGGCACGCTCACCGTCGGCAACGTCCACGGCGCATTGGACATTCGCAGCGACGGTACTAGTAGTAGTACTACTAGTAGTAGTCGACCCTAATGGAGCAGTGGACAGGCACGACCGAGATTCACGTGGGCAGCGTCAGCGGCAGCTTGTTTGTCGAGGACACGGGCGACAGCTGCAATGTGGACGTGCATTTTGACGCAGTGCAGTCGACTGAAGAAGCATCTAACCGCGTGGTCTGCGGCGGAAATGCAAACGTGTCGGTGGCGCCGGCGCTCAAAGTGGCCGTGGAACTGCATGGAAGTTCCGTGGACACGAACGGGTGCGCGTTTGATGGAAGTGGACTCGAAGTCGACCAGCTGGACGACGAGTATGTGATGGCGTCAGGGGAGTTGCGGCCGCGGCTGGAAGACCAAGGGGGACACGTGGCATCGAAGAATGGATCGGGTAAGATCAACTTGAGTGGCGCCAAGGCGTCGGCCATGTCCACGTCATTCTTCACCACGAGCGCCGCCGCCGAGGCGGTCCAACCTGCGGAGGGACAACCCGAACGCATCTTCGTGCATGCTGTGAATGGAAAGGTACGGGACGAAACATGCGATAAGTATCATGGGGGATGTACAAACTGAATTAGTGTATGTATGTGTGTGCTTAGGTCACGTTGAAGCAACTGTCGTGGATGGACAAGATTCGACTCAAGCACAAGCCAGAATAAATCTAACTCCCCTTGGGGTAATCATACATGGAGTTTGTATACCTGAGGTTGAAGTGTAATGTCGCCCACATATATTTGTCAATCTCGAGACTATCTGTGAGTATATCCTTTCTCGGATGCCAGCAAATGGCCAGCGGTATCTGCGTCAAAGTACCATTTGAATCATCCGAGAGGTTCTATCTACGTAGTACACTTGGTAAAATACCTCAACTAGCCCTTGTCGCCAACAATAACGGAAACCGATTGATCGGTTTTCAATAACGACGCGCTCGGAATTTCTCACTCAAGAAATCAAGTTTGGTGAATAATTTACTATTAGTAGTACTACGTACTATTAATACTACTAACGTTAGCATGTACCGTCCGGAAATGTAAAAACTCAGAGTCATATCTTAGTACTGCGTTTAACGTATCTATATTTTCAGTAAAACGTGCTTACTTCGAAGTAAGCAAAATCCATACTAAGCTTACTGTATATCTGGATAGGATCAACAAAACCTCGGAAACTTAATGTTTTTCGATTGACTTGATGAGTCGATCCACAGGCAGCAAAGTACACAACAATCTATCACAGCAATTCATGCTAACGTGACTACGTTGACCATTCTATCAAATGGAGTTATGCCGCCGCCGCTTCCGACGCGAGCATGTGCGCTTGTATCTCGGCCACAGCTTTCTTCACATGCTTCGCATTCGTCAAGAGGTGGTTCGCCCCCTTGATCAAGAGCCATTCCTTGGGGTGGGCGGCAGCGGAGAACAAAGCCTCTCCCTGCTGCCACGGGATGCTCTTGTCGTGATCGCCGTGGATGACAAGGAATGGGACTTTTCCTAGGCCAACGCTCACCCCAATATCCAATGCCACCATGTCCGCAAGGTATCCATGATCTAGCGGGCGCCAAAGCTTTCCCGTAGAACTGTCCACGTCGACAGCGTCAGGAGGGAGTGGCCAATTGGGTGGCCAGTAGAACGGAGTGAGGCAGAAGCCGTCGGTTTGAGCTTGGGCTTGTTGATCGATGGAGAAATCCAAGTGCACGCCTTCCGTCGTGTCTGCGATGCCTGCGACTACAGAAATGGACCGGAGTGAAGTGTGCACGACATGATTCCGCACAAGCGACGCCAGGATCGCCCCCGTGGAGAGGCCAACTATGTGAACATGCCGCATCCGTAACTCGTGCTCGCAGAACGCAATGATAGCATCGGCATCGTCCACCTCATGGCTTAGTAGTTTGCTTCGGTAGGGTACATCATGATCGGAGCCTGGGAGCCCTGAAAAGTTGACACAGAGCAGGTCAAACGAAAGAGGCAGGAGCTCGTTCAGCTTTCTCGGGAAGCGGCTGGCAAACGCCGGAGTTACCGACGTATCTGGGTGCACGGACAGGTCGGGAAAGCCGTGGAAGTAGACGACGATGCTGGAACGCGATGGTGTGCTCGGGTCGGAAGACAGGAGGCCGAGCAGATGCCGCCGCCGCGACTTCACTGGCACATGTACGTGCTGTAATATCCGTGGCATTATATATTTTGGCATTGTCCGGATAACAATCGAAACGTTGCGTCTTGAAATAAGCTTACCTTTACAAACCCAATATTGTACTGTGTTTATTCTAAACTGGAGCGACATGGAGAATGAATCGACACAACCAAATGTACACAAGAATCGACAGAAGAGTTGAGCCAATCAGATTGCAGGAAACATCACCAACGTTTAAATAGTGTGTGACGTCATTTAGTGTGATACAAAATCACTACAGGACAACTTTTTACATACAAAATTCAGTACTTAGTAACAATGAATCGATCGATAGATTTGGCGATTTTCAGCACAAAAGTCACATTTTGGGTAAAAGGACAATACAATACGTTGATGGTTGAATAACGTTAATTTTGATTCGGTTTGTTAAATATCCTAACTAATGACACACTGGCATTGTTTCTGCCGACTCTTTCGCAGATACCGCGCGATGGCGGCGTGTCCGTTCGTTACGGCATTTTGAATCGCATGGACCCGATGCCCTTCGCGTCGGTGGGTGGCTAAAAACTGCACAACTTCGAAATGTCCATTCTCGGCCGCCCACGTCAACGCATCGGGCGTCGCGCCTTCGGTCCGCATGCTGTGGAGAAACTTCACAATGGCGAGATGTCCTTGCTGTGCCGCCCAATCCAGTGCCTTCGCGGTGCACCCTTCGCGGCGATGCACATGCAGAAACTTAAGCATGTCTATGTGTCCTTCGAGCGCCACGCGATCCATGCCGTACTTCGAACATCCCTCTGCTCGATTCTTGTGCAGGAACTCGACGACATGCAGGTGGTTGTTGATCGCGGCGCTGTCCATCGCGTAGAATGTCGCGCCTTCGGAGCGATGGTCGTGAAGGAACTGCACTACATGGAGGTGCCCGTGCTTCGCGGCGTCGTCCATGGCAGCGCGTGTGCATCCTTCCGTGCGGTTAAAGTGGAGAAATCGAACGACGTCTAAATGTCCCTGCTCCGCGGCCCAGTCCATGGCGTCCGTCGAGCAGGTCGCGCCGTGCTCGTGGAGGTACTGGAGCATGTCCAAGTGGCCAGAGCGCGCAACCAGATCCATCACGTCGCATGTGAACATATCGGGGCGAACATGCAACAGTCGTTGAAGCAACCGCTGGTTCTCGACGGTATTCAAATGAAGCACTTGCAATAAGTATGGCGCTTGGCAATACTCGAGCTGTTTTCGCCAGGATCGGCAAATCGGCGCCAACTCGATGTCGAGTCCGCGCTGAAACGTAGTGATGACGCGGAACAGCTCAGGGATCGCAAGGACTTGACGTGCTGGCCGCGAAGCGGAACGATGACATTTGTAGAACGCGCCAGACGGGAGGGTGTCCTCGTAGAAGTGGAAGCTGTCCTGGTCTGGAAAGAGCATATCGTCGTCGTCATGATGGTCTCCTTCCAGCGCATGCCACCGCAACTGCATCGTGTGATTCGTTATGGCGTGCACTTGGTCAATCGAACAATGCAAAGATCTTACTGCAGATCGACCCAAACCGGCGTTTCGGTTCTGGCTTTATGCCGAATTCAACCGCCCCAAGGCCTTCAACTAGGCAAAGTATGCCGTGTTGAAGCTTGTCGTGCCGTATTGAACGACCGTATGTTGCTCAAGTTCAACGTTAAGATCGAATTCTGGCAAGTCAAACTTGACAGTCCTGAGACGCTGTGACTGGGAGGATTCTCACGAGAATGACGCACGACATGTACAGCTACTTGGCTATCAGATGATGATGGAGGCGGGGCCGACCCTTCCCACAAGAGGAGATAGGGGTTCTATTAGTTAGTTACGCTGTAGTAACTACTACCAGTAACACAGATTGTGAATTGGTGGTCACTTGAAGTTGAAGTAGCAGGTGCGAGAGAGAGTTCATATTTAAAAAGAACTTGTTTCTTGTATGTATTTAAGAGAGCAGGATACACTACTCTCCTAACTTCTGCCGAAGACTATTAATACCAGTGTAGTAACAAGTAAAACAACCTTGTGAGCCTTGTTACTACTACTACTACTAGTAGTCCTACCTACAGTACTACTATTAATACGAGGATATATATTATGAATAGTACTACTAGCACATCATATCAAACCATGAGCTGATGAAGCAAGGGCAGTACGTACTGTATTGTCCATCATTCGAGTGCAAGTCCGTCCACTCTTGTCATGCATACTACTTCAGTAGTAGACAGCACCTCAAGTTGGATTTCGTGCTTCAAGTACGCTTAGTATCAATAACTTTTACCGTTACAAGTCTTGTACTGACGTGCGATAGCGATAGTATCGTTGAGGATTGGCCGTTGATATCTAACTCCTTCTTGCAAACCAGGAGCATCATCAGCGCAACCTCCATGGAGTAGTTCGTCATAGTGTCATCGGATGGAACAACCTCTGCCGTGCGATATATTGTTATTCTCTTACAATATAATTCAACATAAAGATAAATAGAACCAATTCACTCTCATATGAGAGTGATGTTCCTGTAAAACAACAGGTTCGCACTTGATACTTGATACAAGAACGACAAGTGCAGATTCTTCAACATGCGGGTTGTGGTCGTGGGAGGTGGTATCGTCGGCCTTTCCACGGCGCTCTTGCTCCTGGAACAAGGCTTCCGACATGTGAAGATCGTCGCAGACAACTTTGACGACACGACATCCCACACAGCAGGTGCCGTGTGGCGTCCGTTCTCCAACGCCGCGACACCAGAACGAATCATGGAGTACGTATGCCTATCAATGCGTGAAGGAAGGTGTATAACCCGTCTTGTGAATGTATTAGTGCCTGGGGCCATGAGACGATAGTGTGGCTGCAAGGACTTTTGGATGCGCATGGAAGTACGGTCGTGGGTGTTCAGAAAACCCCCGGCACTGAACTCCACGATGTGCCGACGACAACACATCCCTATTGGGCTCATTCCGTCGACGGATTTCGATTCCTCTCGCCAGACGAAGCGAACAAGTATGGCAAGGCCTACGGATTCGAGTACACGTCGCTGATGATCCATTCTGGGTACTATCTATCTACAGCATGCATAACTTCATCATCCTCAATATGCTGGTAACATAGGGTATTCATGGCGTGGATTACCAAGCAAATTCAGGCGAGAGGCGGTACCTTTGAGACGCGGCACCTTTCCTCGTTGGACGACCTTCATAACGAAGGGAGCGACATCATTGTCAATTGCTCAGGTGAGTCAACCAGGTCCCTGGAACGGCATGAGTGACTTGACCGGTCGCGTGTTGATGTAGGTTTGGGAGCCGGCAAGCTCGTCAACGACGCGACCGTGTACCCTGTGCGCGGCCAAGTTATCAAAGTGAGCTATCTCTTCGATATATTTTTCATTATTTTGCGAATGTGGACAAATATTTCGGGGATTGATATTTTACTCTGTTTATTCCCAACAGGTGTTCAATCCATTGATCACGCACTTTTTCCTTGTCGAAAGCGGAGGCCATTACACGTACATATTGCCGCGGCCCGGGGGAGAAGTCATCTTGGGCGGTACCGTCCAAGCCCACAACTGGAGCACCGCCTGCGACGAAGACGACGTGAAGCAAATACTCGCGCGATGTGCCGACCTTGTGCCAGCGGTCAAGGAAAGTCGCGTGCTGCACACGAAGGCCGGCCTCCGACCGTCCACGTCCCGGGGAACGCGGGTGGAATTGGACCCTAAGCGGACTGCCAATGGAGCCTGGGTCATCCACAACTACGGACATGGCGGCAGTGGACACACCATCCACCGCGGGTGCGCCGCCGACGTCGTCAAGATCGCTCAGTCTCTAACGGCCAAGCTGTAAAGTTCTGAAAAATGAGTTTGGTTATCCGGATTTGTTGCACCAATTTATCCGGACACATATGGAATGCAAACGTTATTCTGAGTTGTCATTTTGGCATTTCCTTGATGAAGGTTGTGGTCGTGGGCGGCGGCATCGTTGGGCTCTCGACGGCATTGGCACTGCTGGAACATGGGTACAGTGATGTCACGGTAGTGGCAGACAAGTTGGACGACACGACCTCCCATACAGCTGGGGCGTTGTGGCGGCCTGTGTTTGCCGGCGCGACTTCGGATCACACGATGGAGTACGTCGCGCCAAGTCGTCATCATTGAATAGTATCTCATACCGTGCTCCTCTCCCACAGTCAATGGAGTCATGAAACGATGTTGTGGTTGCGGGGCCTGGTAGAGCGACACGGTTCGACTGTCGTTGGCATTCAATGCACACCAGGAATGGAATTGTCCGACTCGCCCACGGACTCGCATCCGTATTGGGCGCATTCGGTCGAGAACTTTCGATTTCTAACGCGGGAAGAGGCGCTGCAGCACCCACCGTACGACAAGCCCTTTGGCATGACGTATACTTCGGTCATGATTCACCCAGGGTATGTATGCCTCCGTCATCTATATCTCATTTCATCATCGCCACCATCGATCAACTCTATTCCTTCGACCGTAGTGTTCTCATGCCATGGATCACACACGACATCAAATCCCGCGGGGGTACATTTGAAACCCGCCATGTCTCCACTCTGGACGACCTCGACGCCGACATTGTCGTCAACTGCACCGGTACGATGTACATGCCGTCTTCCATCTCTCCAACTCTCGTGTTCACATCTCGCATATGTTTCTGTAGGTCTTGGCGCGGGAAAGCTAGCCGGCGATACTTCCGTGTACCCGGTTCGAGGGCAAGTGATCAAGGTCACATGTCCTCGCTCACTCGACCGTTCGTCCATTCTAACAGTTGCATTAGGTGTTCAACCCAAGCATCAAGCGCTTTATGTGTGTGGAATCGCATGGTCAGTACACGTACATCCTCCCTCGTCGCGCGGGCGGCGAAGTCATCGTGGGGGGCACGGCCCAAGTCGGCAACTGGAGCACGGCCAACAGCGACGCCGACATCGCCGCCATATTGGCCCGCGCGGCCGTCCTCATGCCCGAGATCAGCGACAGCAAGGTTCTGCATGCGAAAGCAGGCCTTCGACCTGCAACTTCTCGGGGCACGCGCGTCGAGTTGGATCCGAAGCGGAGGAATAAGGCGTGGGTAATTCACAACTACGGACACGGCGGCAGTGGACATACCATCCATCGCGGGTGCGCGTCGGAGGTGGTCAAGATCGTCAGGTCGTTGCATGCGAATCTCTAGATTACGCCTTCTTGCGTCCTCTACGTTTGCTTTCAGGGTTGAACAGGGGATACTCTTACGATAATGCAAAGTTTTTGGCCAGCTTTGAGACTATATATATATATTATATAGTGGATTTGGTACAAATTTCCAGACCCCGTCGAATCGAGTAATCTCGCCGCGGAATCAAGAATCGACGCGATTGGCTAATAATCCAATTTTGAGTGGATTTGATTGGCTCGTCTTACATAAAGGACAAGTAGAATCAGCCAATCAGAACTCCAGCTTGATTCAATATTGAATCGACAAACCGCCCGAATTTTAAACGTTTTAATGCGAAATCACAATATATGATATAGAGATATGATATATATATATACAGTGCTGGCAATAAGTTTAAGACCACCCCAAAATGTGTCGGTTACATTAGCACCATGCGATAACACGATTCCACGACATTGTTCAAGTGATTTAATACGAAATTTAGGCTGGTAAGAATAACAAATATGTCCATTCTATCATCCAATATCACGCTATGATAAGATCAGATTTTTTTGGCTGGCAATAAGTATAACACCACCACATGAAAAAAGCATTATTGCATATCGATTACCATCAAAATAGCTATCAATACTTTGTTTTACCCCCCTTGAGTTCCAAGACACTGATACAACGCTTCTGCATCGACCGCAACAGCTTTTCAATCAGGTCTTGCCCAATCTCATCCCACGCTTTCAAAATGGCAGCAATGAGGTCCATTTGGACGTAAATTGACGTCCGTGTGCGTAGACAGCACGTGCAAGGACACCCCACATGTTTTCAATGGGATTTAAGTCCGGGGACTTCGCTGGCCACTCCATAACGCGTACGTTGTGCGCCTTCAAGAATTCCTTGGTCTCCTTGGATCTATGAATAGAGGCATTGTCTTGTTGGAAAATGCACTCGCGGCCAAAATGGTAGTCGATGTAGGGGAACAGGTGGTCCGACAACGTCTCCACGAACGCAGCGCTATCTTGAGTGCCCTCCAATATGGCCAGAGTTGTCTTTCCCTTGGCGCTAAAAGCACCCCACACCATGACGCTGCCACCACCTGATTGCCGCTTGAAACAAATTGTTTTCTCCTTGCGTAGATCGTGCCAATAATACTTAAGGCCGTCAGGGCCATCAAGATTAAATTTCTTTTCGTCACTAAAGACGACGTTGACCCAATCACGGTCACCCCAGTTGACCTTTTCACAAGCCCACAATTGACGGGCCTTCTTATGCTGTTCCGCGAGGGTTGGCGACGCCATCGCCTTGATAAACTTGAGGTGCTTTGACTTGTTAAGCAATTGACGTGCACGCCTGGCGTTTATGGTCAGCTGGCACTCGTCAACAAGATCGCGTGAGCTCAAGAAGGAGTTGGAAGCAGTTCGAAGGAGGCGGCGCACGTCGTTTGCAGTTACTTTTGGTGGCCGTCCACTACGCTTGTTGGTATTGTAGGCCACTGGGTTGCTTAAGAACAAAGCAATAGCACTTCGAGAGCGACCTATAAGTCGTTCTATCTCTCTTTGGCCTTTGCCGACGTCGTTCAGGGCCAAAATCATGCCCTGTTCTTCCTCCGTGAGCTTGGGTCCCGCTGGCATGTAACGATGATGTTTTGAAATCAAGGAAAGGCGGGAATCAGTTTAACTTACCAAGAGGAGCATATAAAACGAGTTTTTAGTGCTAAAAAACGCCAAGAATCTCAAAAATGACAGGGTGGTTTTATACTTATTGCCATGTGGTTTTTTGTGAAATGACGTTTTTTCAGCATGGGGTGATGAGCACTTGGCGCCAAGTTGCAAGAAATATCAAGATGGTTTGCAAGTGACCTTGGTATTGCTAGAATGTCTGTAAATTCAGAGATTAACTACTTGAGTGTGCTAACCTGTCCAATTTCTAGGTGGTCCTAAACTTATTGCCAGCACTGTATTATATATGGACGACCTCGTGCAATGATCTGTGGGCGTTCTACCGCTAGCTATGTCAACCAAATTTCGACCACTGTACTACTTACTATACACGATATTTTACCTGCATGTTGAGGCTGTAAATCATTCATGTTAAAATGCTAAATATGAATCACCCGAATAAAATTAGGTTGATTTTGCACATGTCGATTGGGTGATTTTATAAAAATTAACGAAATTTCGTTGTGATGTACCATCGTAAAGGTTATTTAATTTAGCGGCGTTATACGTAATATAATATTATTATATCAGGATTTCTATCTCTATAATATATATATATATCAGTATATCTACTACGTACAGTAGTATCTGTGTATTGCCAATTCAAGGCTACAACAATCAATCCCACGACAGTGCGATCATTTCATGCTTGGGAAAGCGTTTGCAATCGCTGCAACCGCGCGGCGTCCACAGCCGAGTCGTCCTTCAACTTAGTCCACGCTCGATGAAAGTAGGGCCTGGCAGTGTCGTGTTGGTTCAGCGCCTCGTAGTTCTCGGCCAGCTCTTCCGACACGTACCCATCTTCGTTGCCGGCGTCGTCCAACACATGCAGAATCGCCAGCGCTTCCGCGTGTTGATGGAGCGATCGGTGGGTGCGCGCAATCATCCACTTGCCAACATGGATAGGCTTGGGGTCTCCTAAGCGTTCCCGGGCCGCCAATGCCGTTCGGAAATAGACCATTGCCTGGTCAAAGTCCCCTGCGTCATGGTATGTCCACCCGATGTTGTTGGCAAGGGACGCATCCCAATTGCGCGCGGCGGGGTCCTCCGACGTCAACGCGAGGGCAAGCGCCTTCTCGCTCCATGCTAGAGACTCGGTGGGGTCGTCGAACACAAGGGCCACCATGTGCATGGCGTCCACGGCCAACTCGTCAAGTTGCGCGGATACGGCCAAGTCCGTGGCTGCGAGGAAATGGGGACGGGCCTCCGCGGCACGTTGGGACGACCGGTAGACACGACCACGTTCCAGATGCGAACGGACCTTGACTTCAATCGCATCGACAGTGGTCGCAAGTTGCATGACGACTGCGTCGACGTTGTCCAAGGCGGCGTGCGCTTCGTCGAAGCGATTGCGGAGACCCAATGTCCGGGCGATCTGGGTCTGGAGGCACAGATTGTCGGGCGACGCTTCGTCCGCCGTGAGCATGGCGCGGAAGTGCTCTTCCGTGGCAGCAACATCGGAAAAGTTCCACGTCGATTTGTAGTTTCGGACCATGGGTTTTTGAAAATGACAAGCGCATGTCGACAAAACGTTGCAGGAAAGATCATGCTACAAATTGTGAAAGTATACTCATTTATACGGTTAATTCTCCAAAACTTTTGATTTGGATGGTTATGACTTGGAAGTAAACATCGGCAACAAAATAAACTCTACAAATGTAAGGAGTCGCAAAATACTTATACTAGTAACGTAGATGGCCAATTTATGGTGCACTTGAAAGAGACCTCGTCGTAGAATGCAGCTTACTCGTCTCTTAGGAACGGGATTTCAATTCTGAAAAGTGCTGCATGAAGCCGAAAGGTTGGGCATTCTTCTGGTTATTTAATCGGCGTAAATGGACTTCAGCTTACGTTCATTTACTCGATTTGTCAAGGCAAAATAGGAGGGACAGTTTATAGTGCACGGTTTAAGCTTAAAATATGTATGCGGGCTTTGCTTATTTTTTGGCGATTTTATTTTTCTAGTGATTGGATTGGCTATTCCAAATAATCAAGCTATTCCATTGGCCAATTTGAGTGCATCTTAAACTGTCCCGTGCACCATAAACTGGCCATCTACGTTAAGTTAATTGAGAGTCTCGATTCACTGTCAAGTAGAGTTACATGTATACTCTCGGCTGCTTAGAGAATTCAACATAATTGCTGTGATTACAATGTACAGTGTGGGACGACTTACTACCGGTAGTTCAGTTTGAGACGCCAACTAACAAGGTGATTCATGTAATTCCCAGCCAGCATGGGTTACTATTAATATCTGAGTGCCATAACCCGTCACCCATTCATCCGATGAGGCTATTCATTTTGAAGATCATGACGAGCTTTATGACTTTATGCAGGTCCCATCATTTGTATCGCATAGGTCATTTTGTGCAATTCGTCGCTCGAAAAACAGATCTTGACAGTGAATTATATTTTCCAGATAACGTTATGTTTTCTATGTTTCTCAATTCTTCTTACTTTTTGTATGAGATGGAATTGAAAATTTGCGTCAAAAAGTGTCCGAGAATTCGATGCGTTACCTTAGTATATTACACGGTGGCCTAACGAGTACTGTACTGTACCGTACTGTACTCCCTCCGATCCAATGAGGTAGTAGTAAGTTAACTTACTGTGGTAGTAAGTTTAGCTTACGTAGTAACGTTACCTAGTACCGCTGTACTCCGAGTACTATGTACTAGTATTAATTAACGTTAGCTTGCAGTATATTTCACCTGACCACCGATATATTTCGACCACCTCCATTTAATTTCGTGGGACCTCTACCTTCACCCCCAAACCTGGTCTAATTCAATCAACTAAGTTATACTTCTAAGTACTGGAGTAATATGTAACGGTAACACTACCAGGTATACGTATATGAATACCAGATTCCAAAGTCTGAATCCACCAAATGCAATTACGTAGTACTATTAATACGTAGTAATTCACATGAATACAGAACTGGTGTTGTATTCAGATCAAACGAAATACTATGTGCTACATTATTCAAGTATTTTAAGCGAAATGTTGCAGCACATCATGCACGAAAGTAGGCCATGTCGACGCTTTCTTGGCGGCGATTGCGCCGGATTTACGTGTTCCACTACAAGCTTAGGGCATCCCCAATGGTGCGACGGTAAACGCTATTTTACCGTTTTTGAGGTCAAATATGCAGTTTTGGCAACCCCAACGGTGCGACCGGAAACGGCCTATTTTTACCGCGAGACGGCAAATCGGTGAAGTCCGAAATACAGGAGCCAATCATTGACTACTATTTGAAGTATTCTCACCAATCAATTGCAAAGCATGGATTTTTCGATAACAACATTAGTTAGATGCTCTCAGAAGCACGGTTAACGTTAGCTCAATTGAGATGGAAGGTGCCTCCTTTGACTACCCTACTGACTGCGTTGAGAGACACTGCTCGTGAGCATTTTTTGTACCTTTCGGGGTCAACAAGGAGGTACAGGGAACGACGCTGAGTAGCGGCGTGATGAGGAGTTGTGATTGGACAGAGACGCGGTTCGAATTGACCAATTGAGGCTCACAAAACCAAAATATAAAAGAAGTATCGAATGAAAAATATGAGCTTTGAATATAAGATTACAAAGGCTATTAATATAAAGAGTAATTAGTACTAGGAAGACATCGAAGCCATGGTTTTCAAGTCCTCATTCTTGCAGGAAACTAATTATCACAAGGGATCAAGGTCATAAAAATGCCTATTACACATATTGCATTACAACGCTGTGACACATGGACTGGATTTGCACCCCTCATGGGGACGAACAAAATGTGATATGACCCCTTATAAAAATACTACAATTTAATATTCTATTCAAGT